CGAGGATTTTACAAGGAATTGCTTTTGATTACAGATCATTCGACCTACTGAGAAAACGTTGCTGCGCCGGGTGATTGAGGTGTGCACTACGGTGGAGACCGGTAAATGGAATGGAACGGCAAGCACTGATAGCGTAGATGATAGCGATGTGGAGGAGAGAGCTCGCGCGCAGCAACAGGTGGCTAATTTGTATCAGATGTTATTTTGAGCCCACTTATTATTTGATGCGCTTTTTTAAGGTACGAAGAGGTCGAAAGCGTGCAGTGGATACGGATGCGCAAAAGATGCGGGCGTTGATGCAGCAGTCGATGTTATCCCAAATGGGTGATCTGCCTTTAGCAGCCGCCATGCTGCAATCTGCAATGTTCATGCCGCAACTCATGGGAAACAACGCTGCAGCGGCGCAACTTCTTGGGTCATTGTTTGCCATGGCTGGTGGGTTTTACTCAAATATTAAATTTGAAGAGCTGGTTTTTATCAATTGCGTTTTACGTCATCATGGTCTACATGCTTCTTATGATAGCTCGTTTCAGCAGGAGCATCTGGCACTTCAGCTAGTTCTTCCGGAGCAGGTGGCTCAGCAACAGCAGGAACTTCGGCTGCTGCAGCGTCGTCTCATGCTGCTGCCGCACTTCTAGCCAGTGCAGCTGCTTCAGGATCCGCGGGAATGGAGGCTGATGTTCTTAATTTAACAAAGAAGGTTAGTATACTAAAAAAGGTCTTGTGAAATATCTTTCATAATGTCACACTAGGTATTAGCCTTGTAATTTCAACACAGATACGACAAAATTAGTTTACTGGTTGAAAATCTGATTGATACGATATCTGAATAATGAATTTTGAGGCTGAACCACCAGCCGTTACATCTGCCTCGCCAGCTCCTTCAACCTCTTCTGCTCCTGCACCCTCAACATCTCAGCAGCAACAGCAGTCGGCCGCGATGGGTCAACTCGGACTGAATGAGCTTATCATCCTTGCCAGCCTACCACCTGGTATGTTTTATGCTGGTTTCTGAGATACATATATTGCTTATTACCTTCTCTCCTCTTGTGTGGATTCAGATCGCAGCAGAGATAACTGTGAATTCCCTGATTAAAATTAGTTTTAATTGCAACTAGCTCTGTTCGTAACAATTATCCTAAACATCATTCACAACTCCCCTCACAACAAGGGTGTGTACGCCTCTTTTCTAGAGTTTAACTCTTCCACAACACGGTAACTTTTCGCGAATTAAGAACAGTCAGAAAATTTTTGTAGGATTCGATGACTTTGTGTCCGGGACGGAAAGCTCAAGTAAAACAGTGGCGAACATGGTCAGAGTCATTCAGCATTTTTCGGGTACAAGAAAACGTGCACTAGGTGGAACATGAAAATATGAAGGAACACCCTTGTCCCTATTTTTTTAGTTCCAAAGCTTCCTTTCTGAAAAACGTCGCGCTTGCATCAGTGGTGTGTTAATGCTGTGCCTTTCAGATACGAGGATTCCGGTCCTAAACACACAAACAAAGGAGCGGTTATTGGGTGAATCTGCACCAAAGCTGAAAAACCTCAGTGCATGGCTAACATCGCATCCCACCTACACATTGGATCTCGCTAGTTTAGGTAGATTTGCATGCAGTTTGAAGAGTTTGATTGAGAAAGTTCATGGTACAGCTTGTATATCAACTCAATTCCAGGAAAAGAACCACCACCATCTGTTCCAACCCCCGTGGTCACATCTGCTGCAGCCGATTCCACTCCATCAAGCGCCAAGCCGTCAGCTCCTCCAACTCCTAAGCCTTCTACTCCAAAACCTCTGAGCGCAGCTACCACTCCTGCCCCTAGTTCAAAGCCGGTGAGCGCGGCACCAACACCAGCGCCAGCACCGCTCACCCCGAAGCCGGAGTCTAGTCCTCGTCTAGAGCCTGGTGAGATCCCCAAGAAAGCATCAAATGCAGGGGCTTCTAGTATTGGAAGCGCTGGGGATGGACCCGTCTCCGTGTTCAGTAGGTGGGTATTATTCACTTTTGTTTTTTCATCTCATAGTGGCACTTCGTTCAATTTCTCGGAAGTTTGCCAAACAAGAGATTTAAGACTGACTGGAGCTTTGCTTCCTGCTTCGAAATGGCCAACGCTGAGTAAATTGGCTTCATGGCTTGACGCTCATCCCGAAGCAAACGTACATAGCAGTAGTGTACCTGTTGCTCAGGTTAGTAACTTGAAATTTTTCGTTTTTATTGATTACCGATATATCGATAAATGATTCTTCTCTAGTTGGTGGTGGGAATGTCGCATCCAGAACGACTTGGAGGAGATCCTGTTGCTATTGCGAATGCCGCTGGACCCTCTTCGTCTGCAGCTACAAAATCATCTGACAAGGCAGCTAGCAGCAGCAGTGTCTTCGGAGGTGATTCTACTTCTTTTTTTACAAACAGGCGAACAGTCACATCTTT